CCCCTTAGGGGGGGGCAGCATCCCCTGTGGCAGTGAGGTGGCGACTGGGGTGCCCCATGTGTAGGGGACAGCCCTGGGGGGGACAGCAATGTGCTCCGGGTTCCCCCAGGCACGGATGGCTGAACCCGGATGGGGAAGGGGCACCACAGTGTCCCCGTCCTGCCTGGGCACTGTCCCCATCCCGGTGGCCCGTGCCGCCGCGGCAGGGGCTGCCTGGGCGCTCACAGCCCGGGGCTCCCCGCTGTCCCTCGGGCCATCCCTGTGCGGCAGCGGGGGGGCTGCAGGGTGTCCCTTTGTCCCCCTGCGTGGGGGTGGCATCGAGTCGGGGTGAGAGCTGCGTGCTTAGCTGGTTGATGCTACAGCAAAAACAAGACCGACAGTAAAATCTGGGCTTTCCTGTGAGCCTGGGGGTTTACCCAGGACTTGCCTGTGGCCAGGCAGCTCTCGGTTGTCCCCATGGGTGACTGCGCCGGGGGCTGGGCACCCCGTGTGCTGCGTTTGCAGGCAGCGCAGCCCGGCTGCGGCAGGGGAAGGCAGCCGGCGCCTGGTGAGTAAGGGCCCCGTGGAGATGTGGAGGAGGCACCGGCTGGGTGTGAATTATTAACAGGCGCTCGTCTTGCATTGTGCCCTGGGGTCAAAAAATGCAACGAAGTGCAGGGGCTGGTGGGGACTCCTGTGTCGGGTTCCCTCTCTGAGGGGACAGCGTGTCCTGGAGAACGGTCCTCGGTGCCGCAACCGGCGCAGGAGCCTGCCCCGTCCCTGCTGACCTGGTGATGTGGAATGGGACGGTTAGCATGAAGAAACATCCACTGACAGCCAGAGATAAAGACCCTCGATGCTTCCTCCCGGTAACGGCACGGTAACGCCCGAGTGCCGGCTTGCCCGGAGTGGACCGGCACGGAGAGAGGACGGTTGTAGTGTGGGTGCTCTTATCTTGATTCCGAATTTATCTCGGCCAACCGCTTTGTGTAACTGAATGATAGCCTGATCGGTGGGTGATCTCCCTGAAGTTTTGCTTGGCGAGTCAGGGAGGGCGTTGGGGGGGCAGCTTCACCCCCTGCCTCTGTGTCAGCTAGATCTGTGCCCTAGATTTAGGGAAGTGGCTGGAGCTGTGCTTCCTCCCCTCTCAGGACAGGTCCGCTCCGGCTGGGTGCTGCTTAGGGTGCACCGAAGGGGAAGTCCTGAATCATATTTTGCATGGGGGCTGCAGCTGCCCCGGCCAGCTCCGCTCCCTGCTGTGGGGAGCAGAGCACCCTGCCTGCTTCAGCAGCCTGGGTGGAGGCTGGAGGCATGGATGGAGGCTGCGTTTCCCTGGCCGAAGCGTGGGTTATTCCTAGAAAGGTGGGGGCTACCCCGCCACCTCCCTTGGCTGACCACGGTGCGGCCAAGCGGGGCCGGCAAAGCCATTGGAACCGGCTGTGCTGGTACCGCTCGCGGCTCACTCAGTCACGCTGCGGCAAGATGCTTCATGTGGGAGCGGGGCGGCTCGTCTGGTGGCAACTCGTGCTCAGATCAGAGGAAACATTGTGAAACCGCAGCCTCGGGGGGAGATACCACGAGTTGCTATCGGTGGCATCTCCCCACCACGGCGGTGGGGTGCCAGTGTCAGCAGTCCTGGGTGGCTCAGCCCACACACCGGCCTGCCTGCTCGCCGGCTTTTTTTGGGGCAGCTTCCTGCCGCGGTGGGGTGGGAAGGGTGAGTGGCTCTTTGCTGCCTGTCTGAGCCAGTCTGGCAGCGCTGTACCAAATTCCCTGCCCGGGACGCCTGTGCCGCGCAGCCTGGCATTCCCATGATCCTGCCCCGCAGGAACGGGAGATGAGAGCCTGGACGCCTGCTGCCTGCCGGGGGTGCTGCAGGGCCGGGCAGGGTGGTCCTGGGGGGCTCCCACGGCCCCGCTTGGGAGAGTGGGTGGTCCCCAGGACCCCTCTGGCTCACAGTGAAGCCGCATTCGCTTGGGCAGACCCGGGGATGTGCGGGTGTCAGGATGCAGCTCACAACCCCGGGCCAGAGGAGCATGGCTCCACGGGGGTGGCCAGTGGGGGTGGCCTCGGTGGTGGGCACTGCCTGCCCCTGGGGGCCACGAGGAGGAGGGAGTGACGGGAGTCTCCTGCATGTGTGATGGTGGCGATGGCTCGTGGGTGGGCGCAGGGGTGGACGTGGAGGCTGCAGCAGCCTGGGGCCCGCAGCTCCTGCCCCAGTGTTCCCCTGGGGATGCGGGCAAGTCCCTCGCAGCCCTTAGGGGACCGCAGAGCCTGACCCTGTGGGGCCCTGGGACTGGGGAGGGGGCAGAGCCTCCCCGATCCTCCAGATGGGGCTCGGTTAAAACCAACAGCCCTGTAACAGGGAACAAAGGAGGTCTGGTCTGGTTTGAACCTTCTTGGACCCTTCCCATCCCGGTGGCTTGTCTGGGGCAGAGACACCGCGGTGTGCCCGAGTTCCCTGTCCTTCGGGGAGCTCCTGGAGCACCAGAGCTGGCTGTGAGCTGGTGCAGGGCAGCACCCAGCACCCTGCTGGGGTCCTTGCTCAGGATGGATCTGAGCCGGGCTGGGATCGTCACTGCCAGGCCTCAGCGCAGGGAGAACCGCTTTGCCCCAGCCCTGTGGTAGCTGGGGTGGCTGTGCCACATGGAAGCAATGCGGAGGAGGAATTGCCGTTCACGACTGAGAGGAGGAGAAATGGCTCGTGAGGAGGAGGATCTTGCAAAGTCCCCTGGAGAGGGGACCTTGGGGACCTGGCAAAGCGGCTGCAGGTTCCCCTCACCTATAGGAACAGGTTCCCGCGACTCTTCGGCAGCTCCCGGTGAAGCTGGGGACAGGCAGGACAGGGCACGCGGCCGTCTCCGCGTCAGCGCCTGGGCCTCGGGGGCAGTGGAGCATCTCGGCAGATTTGTTCTGTAACCTTGTGAAAGGGGAGGGAGAAGCCAGCCTGTCCCTGCCTGCTCCACGCAGGCGTCCTCACGCCGTCACGCTGCGGCAGAAGGAGGAGCCTGGCTCTGCTGTTCCTGACTCAGCCGGGACCTTCCCATGGCTCAGAGCCCGGCGTGGGGGGCAGATCTGCTCCCGTCCCCCGCCATTGCGCTGGAGGTGTCCCTGGCCGTCGCTCTGCAGGTGACTTCTGCAAGCGTGGAGGGAGCGTGGCTCCCTCTGCCAGCCCCACGGGAGAAGGACAAGGGGACAGATGGGCTGTCCCTGCCCCAGTGGGACAGGCCGGAGCCCTCCTGGCCCTCGGGGTGCCTTATCTCCCTCGGGCAGGCGGCAGGGCAGCGCGTGTCCTTGGGGCTGGTTATCTGCAGGCTGGAGGTGGGGAGAGAAGCCCTTGGCAGCTGCGTGTTGTGACAGCGTGAGGGTCTGTCCTCTGGTGTTTTGAGGGGGATGGAGCAGCTGTGAGGTGGTGCTGCACTTTGTGGAGGGAACTTGACTGGGGAAAAGTCAGCTGACAAGTGTCTGTCTGTCTGTCTTGCCACTGAGTGTGAGAGGGAAGGACATCTCCCTGTGCAGGATGGGGTGAGGGGGGATGTGGGGCTCCATGTGTCTCACCTGGCTGGGGGAAGGGGCCCACCTCCCTCCCCAGCCCTGTGGGGTAGGACCTGTCCTAGCAGAGGGATGGCTCTGTCTGTCCGTCTGCGTCTGAGCTGGCTGGGGCCGTTGGGGTTCCAGGGAAACAGGGCTTGCAGCCTCTCACTGCTCCGCTCTTTTCCCAGGCACCACCTGCGTCCTCGTGTCCTTCCCCTTCATCTTCAACCCCTGCCTGGGTTGCAAGGAGAACACGCCGCAGTGGGCAGCCTTCATCTACTACCTCCCCTTCATCGTCATCTTCCAGTTTGGCTGGGCGGCCACACAGATCTCCCACCTGTCCCTCATCCCCGAGCTGGTGACCAGTGACCATGAGAAGGTGGAGCTCACAGCTTTCAGGTGAGCACAGCCAGACCTAGGTGTCCCCTGAACCCAGGGGAGCAGCCCTGCCTGCGCCGGGTCCCATCGCTTGTGTGACGAGAGGTCCCCTGGGTGCCACGGGTCTGATGTCCCCTGGGTGCCATGGCACACTTGAGCCCTCGGTACAGCAGGACCGGGACTGGGCCGCGTGGGTGTCCTGCAGGATGTGTCCCAAGTGACACTGGTCTTCTGGGTTGGTGGCTCAAATCCTTTGGTGCCAGGAGGGAATGTCCTGATGCCAGGGATGTTGGTGACACAGCCCGTGGGGCACTTCCCTGAGCTGGGGGCGCTTCTCTTTTGGAACTGGAGGGTGATGCTCACAGGGGAGGAATAGACCCCCCCGGATGCCCCCAGGGAGAGCTGGGCACGGCCCTGTGCGGGATGTCCCATAGGTAGGGATGGCCCCAGGGCCAGGCTGGGCAGCACGTGCAGCTCCGTGCGCGGAGCCCGGCTCAGTGCCACTTATCTGGCAGGATCAGGCTGCGGGAAGGAGCATTTATCAGAAGTTCCCCTTCTGGCAGGCGAGAGGGGACTGCAGCGCAGCCGGGCAGGGAGGATGTGGGACAGCGCTGGGGTAACCCGGGGGCCAAGGGGTCTGGCCCTGGGGGCACCGAGTCGGGCAGCTCGGGACACCCTTGGGGCAGAGGTGAGCTGTGACTGGAGGGTGGACAGGCTGACCCAGAGGGATCTTGGTTTCTTCCCAGTCGTGCCCTGAGGCTTGGATTGGGCACGCTGGGAGGTGCACCAGTAACGCTAATGCCTGGCCAGATGTTGTGTGCTCTTGGAGGTGTCACCTCAGCAATGACGCTGGGGTGCAAAGCTGGCTGTAGCATGCCTGGCTTGGAGGGCAGCCTTGGGTTGAGGTGTCCCC